CGCTTGAACTTCGTCCTCCGGTTCTGGAACCAGACTTTTACCTGCAGAACGGGGGAAAAAAGCGAGTTCAGGAGGGTTGTTTGTGTTTTTACGCACGGGTTTTACGCGCGTTCCGCGCGTAAAACCCGTGCGTAAAAACACAAACAACCCTCCTGAACTCGCTTTTTTCCCCCGTTCTGCAGGTAAAAGTCTGGTTCCAGAACCGGAGGACGAAGTTCAAGCGGCAGAAGCTGGAGGAGGAGGGCTCGGAGTCGCAGCAGAAGAAGAAAGGCTCGCATCACATAAACCGGTGGAGGCTCGCGACCAAACAGGCGAGTCCGGAAGAGATCGACGTCACTTCGGACGATTAAACAAAAACTCCAGAGACTTTTGTTTTTTGTGGACATGAAGGAGGGGACAGGGTTGGACAAAACCCGGGCTGGCACTGGCGCGCCACGCGGACACAAACCCACCGAAGCCAGGAGGACCCGAACCCGGACCCGGACCGGCAGCAGATCTCATCTAACTTTTTTTCTCCAAATCACATTTTTTTGCACTTCCCCTTCTTTTTAAACCAAGAAACCAAAACATCAAATTTTTCCCCTCTTTTTTTTTTATCAAACTGCATGTCCTATTTTTTTAAAAATAGTGCTTTAATTTGACAAGAAGGGAAAAAAAGAATCTAATTTTGGTTTTGAACTCGGATTTTCAGATGTTTTTTWAACTCATGAGTGTAAAAGTGATGTGAAACATATGAAGTAGGTGCTGCGTTCAGTGGGTTTCAGTTTCCTTTTGTTTTTTTAAAGAAAAAGAACAAAAAAAAATCAGGTGAATCAGATCCTAAAAGGCATCAGGACATTCCTCTAAAGCCAAAGCKTCATAAAAGTCAGGATTTATTCAGCAGAACAGAAAAGTAAAAAAAAAAAGAAGAAACTTCCGGTTCCATGTACAGCTCAGCCTCTTTTACAGGATGTAAATAATTTGTGTTCGTGTTCAGTTTGCTACGATTTTAACACAAAGTATACTTCCAAGAAGTATCTGTAATTGTCAATATTTTGTCAATAAAGTTTTATGAACATGCGCGCGCAGTCCAAGTGCGGCTTTTTCGGATTTTGCGCGGATTTTTGGGGGGATTTTTGTGCGTAATTTGGTGTTTTTCTGGCAGCAGAGACCCCCGGAACCCCCCCCCCCCCCTCCTGTGGAAGTGCAAATCAGTTTGGGCCAATTGTCATGCGGGTAATATGAGGAGGGGGGGAGGGGGGGGCAGTGGTCCACTTTAATCTCTTAATCCACAGATCCGAGGAGGAGGAGGGTTTGGACATAATTTAGTCCAATCTGACTCCCCTCATGACGCGATAAGGGAAGCTGAAAAATGGGATCTTTGTTTCCAACGAACCGAACCGAACCGAACCGAACCTTTCCCGCAGGATTTTTATTTACAAACATCAATAAAATAAAAACTAAAAACAAACATTTCAGATTTAAATGAAGCAGAAACTTTGGTTGAAAATAAAAAAAGGCTAAAAAGTTTTTTCTCTTTTGGAAACTTCAAAGAGATAAAAACAGAAATAAAATCTAAAGACGTCATCAGTTCAGTTTATAGTTTAGTTTTTTTAAAAGAGGAGAATAAAAAAAAAGCTTTATAACAAACCCGCGCTGTGAGGAGG